GGAAAACCAGGTTTAAGAGTGGATAAGGTTTTAGTTAACATATTTACTTATAAACAGAGCTTTCATATTTTGCACTGGAAAGCAAGTACTTAGTAGCAAGACATCATGGCAGTAATAATTCTGAATTACAGTGTTAAAACATTAAAACATAACACTTATTCAATATGAAAGTGTTAAAGCTCTTAATAACCTGAAGAATCAATTTCAACAGGCCTATGAAACGTGCAGTTTCTACAGCTGATGCATGTGACTGACTGACAATTTAAGTTTAGAGCCATGGTGCTCAGACCTCAGAATGCATGAAACAGAAGTCTCTTTATTCTCCTTCACATGTGTCAACTTAGTTTTCAGAGCTAGTCATAAATGATGACCTAAAGCAGAGAATTTAGGCAGCCTACGGTGCTTTTCTCACCCTGCGCTTTGCTCCCTGCTAACCTGATCAGAGAGTGATGCTGCAACCATCCTCTTTTCACCCAAGGTGCCTGAAGTACACATCACTGTCTTGCCATCTCTTCCTCACCTGCTTCCAGCCCAGAAATCTTCCACTGGTTCTATAATGCAGTGTATCTGCTCTACTCTGGCATTGCACAACAGCTTCTCCTTCCTTCCCCAGCTTTAGAGGAGAAGAAAAAGACAAAGCAGCACAGAATGAGAATGCAATGCCCAGCAAGTACAAACAATTTGGCTTTCCAGCTATAGTGAACAGCAGCATCACCACAGCACCAATATACTAGGCTAGAAATGAAGATGCAGAGCTGTACAACATCAGATATACTAAGAAGGCTGCAGAATAGTAGGAAATATATACCAACAGTTTGAAGCAGTGGAATCATATGAAAGGGAAAATAGACTAAACATCATTAAATTAGATTAAAAGTCACTAAAAACCACACACAACCATGATGAGAGGGGAAAAGAATTTATTGGTCCTTTAAGATTTCCAGTGATTGCTTGTAGTATGTTCAGCAAACTCGTTCAAATGTTGCACATAAAGGTCATCTTTTCTTTGCCATGTTACAGCTAGCTTAACATTCCATGGAAATGTAAAGAATAAAGGCAAAAAAGGATTAATCTTCAAATTATTAGTGAAATACATGATTATTTTTTCCCCGTTTCAGCCAAACACTAGTGCAGAACTGGTTCTGTGCTCAGCACCATCCTCCATGAACATGACTCTCACATATCACAGAAGGCACTTGAAATTCCTGGAAGCTGGGATGTGGGGAAGGGGAGGGGATCAGCTCTCACTTGGATAACAATATGCTCATTTTTAATAAGTGCAATACTAGTATAAATTCAAACAGCCACAAAGCACTGAGATACAAAAACTGAGCTAGACATGCTAACTACAGGGCTGCAAAGCTGGAGTACAACAATCCTTCGTGTCACCACCACCATTACTCATCGTCTCCACCACAGAGGAGCAGCAGTGCTTTCCTGTAGTCCCCAGATGTATCTTTCTGTTAACACAACAGACCAGTCACCATGAGTCACAGCCACAGAAATGACAAGTAAAGCAGCAGCCAAGGAGGGCCCCAACACATTACACATTTGTCCCACCCACAGGAAAACCACTTGGATGACTCTCCAGCTCAGGAATGGCACAAGGAAATTCTCTGCCTCTTAGGCTAGAGCTATCCTTGCACAGACTTTCAGTAACACAAAAAACCTCCAAAAGCTTTACTAGAACTGAGCCACCCATTGCATATTCAAATGCATTTGTCTGCAGGGCAGAAGGTCCAAAGGAGAAGCCCAAAGCAGCACCAAAAGGTGCTTTTAAGCAGCCTTTAATGAGCAAAGTGCACTGCCACCACTTAGCAAGGCCTCAGCCCTGCTCCCTGCAATCAGTGGGAAACTCTGACACAGAATCCACAGGACAGCTGTATGGGCCTGACTGGCAGTGTCAAAAGCAGCTCCACCAAAACTAATTAGGGGAGCATAATGTCAGGAATGGTAACAGAAAATCCTAAAAAGCAGCACTTAAAAATACAACTAGACAAAAAGACATTTTGGCTTTAAGTCTGCAGCAACAGCTGGCTCTGGATTTCTTGCTGGCTCTTGCCCTTCCTGCTCCTTCACATCCACTCAAAGGAGATTATGATTCAGACTGATTCCACAGTGAACTGGTTTCCACTTGGAAACAGTGCGAAAGGTTCCACATCACAACCCAAGAATGAAACTTCAACCTCGTGATAATTGAGACTCCCAACCCCAGTATGATTTCTCTGGAGCCAGCAGCCTCCCTGAAGCACTGACAATAAGGAATCCAGACAAGAAAAGGGAAATGAAGCAGTGGCTAAAAGGGGTGTGTGAGTAATTGTAACTTCAGAAACACATCATGTCTCCTAGTGAACATTGGAAGCAAACTGTTAGCTTTCTATAGGAAGTGTCCCCCACTTCATGTGATGTGGTGCTTGCCAAAATTGCAGACCAACCACCATCACTCCCAGAGCAACCATCATCACTCTCAGAGCACTCATCCAGCTCTACTCACATCCACCCCCTCCCATGAAAACAATGGGATCTCAATCACTCCCATAATCCCTGACATGGAACAGAAATTTTACCTGAATCATGTGATACAATGACTTTGCAAAATTCTTTCTGAATTCTTGTCTAATATCCAACAGATCAACTTCACTTCTTGAGACCATGACTCTGATCAGGGTGTCATCATCAGTGCCAGCTCCCTGAAAAGGGAAGTTTAAATCATGTTAAAATCTGAGTTTGCTCTGCACAGATGCTGCAACAAAACAGCAAATACAAACAACCAGGGTACAATATGAAAGCATCAAGTGCAACAAGTGGCATCTCAAACCACTCCTGCAATACATTTCAACTCCAAACCAGAGAATATTTGGGACAGTATCACAAGACATGGACACTGCAACATGGAGAACAGAGGACTGACCATGCAGGGTGCTCTAATCCCTCAACTTCTACGAAGTGCCATGTGGTCAAGCCTCTCATTTCATGTTTCATATCACAAGCTTCAACTGTGAATGCCCACAGACATTTACAACAACCCAGTTCCAAGATCACACAGTAGCAGAGCTGATCAGCACAATCAGCATCACATGCAAATTACTCTTTCAGTGTACTCTGAGACTGCAGCAGTGTAGTCAGTCCTGGAATTGGGGGCATAAATCTGTGACTAATACAAACCATGTAACATCATACAGCAAGACACAGAGCAACTCATTCCAGGAGCTATCCAGCTGTTTGTTATGAAGGCAAACTTCAGGAAGCTTTTCCAACCACGCAAACATGCTCCACTCTTATTCATCCTATTGCTTTAAATTTTGCAGTTCCTGTGCAGGCTAACGTCCTGACCCTTCTGCTCAGACAAGTCAGACTCCACACAAGCTGAAGCAATACAAATTCTCACATGCTGACCTGCTAATGCACCTCAGGGCAGGACTTGGCAGAGCCCCCACGATCATCTTCAGCCTAACGTCCCGGGCCACTCAATCCTTCGACTGGGTGTAATATTCTTGGATTACACCTAAAAATGCCCTAAAGCTGCTCAGAAGTTATGGCATGAGTCCAGTGATTTCTCAGTAGGACTTGAGACTAGAATCCCATGAAAGCCAAGCTCTGCCCCACCTAACCACAAAAGCAAACTCTGCTCAGTGTTGAACTTTGTCACACCAAGCTGATAAATCAGAAGTACAAATTCTTCTGCCGAAGTAATAATTGATCAAGAGCTTTCTTATCTGATGTGCTTAATGACTTTAATTTATATTGAAAAAAATAATTGGGGATCTTGCCAGCAGACATTCACAGGCTCCTCATATAAGAAATGTGGAACAATCTAAAGCCTACAGGAAAACTGCATTCCTGAAAAAATAACAACTAATAAATAAGAAAGAAGCAATCCTCCTCATAGAGCTCAGCATACTGGTACAGGGCTCTGTATTTTTCACCCAAACCTTATTTTACATTGGCACCTAAAAAAGCAGTAAAGCAACTATGAAAAATTAAACTCAATTTGTGTAGTGTCACTCATTTTCATGCTGACACCTCATCCATACAACTGCCTGGTGACAAACATTCTTCAGGGCTTTCCAGCCAGGGGAAGGGAAGAATTCTTCAGAGAAGCTGATAACTTGCCTGAAAACAATAGACTACCTACCTGGAGTTTAATTAATATTAGCCACTGGGAGCTAAAAATATTTTTCCCTGCTTATCTTTTCCCATCCCAGAGAACAGAACGATGTGTTGCTGATGGGATTCCCCTACAGCATCTTTTGCAGCTGGATTTATTTCCTTCTCAAAACTGGATGGATAGTAATCAACAAGTGTTTCAAAGCTAACTAGGCCTCCAGTCTGTAAATATCTTCAAAACAAAGAGCACTAATTTGCACAATCTACAATTCAGCTTTTGGTTATCTTTACTTCAATATTTCCACTACCTCAAGACACAGTAGTCTTTATCCAGCTGAAAATGCCCAGTGGATCTAGCCAGACATTTTCCAATGCAACAAGACCAAGTCCAAAAACAGCTGACGAGACTGCGAAAGACTGATGGACTGACAGACCTACAATAAAGTTGAAGTAAAGCTTATGAATTGTTTGCATCCTCTCCCAGATCTGCACTTCCTGAATCTTTTGCAGACACTTAGTGATACAATGTCCTGTTGGCATTTACAGTGAAAGAAGCAAAGGGGAGAGGAATTGTAGCTGGAGGAGATGGAAAGTGACACATGGGAAATATGTACATACCTTCATGGAATAATATAGAGTCTCAGCCAAATAGGCAGGCACACTCCTGATGCATTTCACTGAGAAAAATAAGGCAAATGATGGAATTACTGATTGCTATTCAGTACAGGACAATCTTTCACACCAAGACAAGGTGTGTGTTACTGGGTCATTCTCGCTGGTGTGGACAGTAAGTATCCAGCTGTCACCTCATCTGTTCCTCTGCTACAACTCTTTGGGTTCTAGAACACACCACTTGTTTTTAATAAATGGTGCATTAATATATAATAGATGTATAAGATATAACAGATATAATAAAGACTTCATAGTCAAATTCTACTCCCAGTTACAAATCTGCTAAGACATTGTCCTAGATGAGCTGCCAGGAACACAAAGGCCGTTTTGTCTCACCTCTGCCAGAGGTGCACAAGACCAAACAGAACACAGTTCTTTACCACTCCCTTGCTCACTTTCCCCCCAGCCCCCATCTGTTAAAAGAAGACTCAAGGTCTATTCTCTAGACACAAAAAGAGATCCCACGTGATTAACTTGACAAAGGAACCATGTTGTCATGTCACTGTCTAGAACAACTGCAATTGAAAATTAAAGAGGCCTGGGAGTAAGTGAAGAAGACCAGTTCTAGATCTATTAAAACTTAATTACCAACTGCCAAGAGCAGCTTCTCCAAGTCACCAGAGGTTTCCCGGTCAATGGTCTCTTCAATTTGAAAGCCAGAGATAGTCATGTACTTGTCGAACACTGCAAAACAAAGTGTGCTCAGTCAGCATCTCTCCCAGTACCCTCCTCAGTTCAGGACAATGCCATCTGTGTCATTATCCACAGTTCATGTGCTATCATCCACTCAATCCTCCCTCTGCCCTATTTGAAGTACCAATTCCCTACTGTGGCTACTACACAACATGTTCCCATTCCTGGGAAAGAACAACCCCATGCTTTAATTTCCAGTGGCCTGGACAGCTTGTAAAACAGACTTATGAACAGGTAAGGAGCAAGGGGAAAAAATAGCATTGATTCTTTATTAACAGCTAATCAAGTAGGCACACATAAATGGGCTGAGCTCTTCCAGGCTGAATTTTAGGCACACGAGCCACACTACCTACCCCTCCTCAAATGGGAAACGCTGCGTGTTCCCAAGATGGTGATGAACTTCTCTTCGTCTGTTCCCCATTTCAGCTCCCCAGCTCTGAACAAAACCTGGTGGAAATGTAAGGGATCAAAACAGCAGCATTTGTTATATGTCCACACACCCTGTTGAAAAGCTCTATTTGTCTCACTCTAAGGAGCATTAAACTTACTAACAAGCTATAGCTGGAGGGGAAAAAAATTAAATAAAATTGCCAAGTACTGAACTCATATTGGAAATAAATGAAAAAGTCTGAGATTGACTTGTGAAAGCACTTACATGAGTAATACTACTTAGGGCCCTGAGACTGACTGCACACAGCCCCTTTCATAAGCCTCAAGTTTTCTGAAACTGTGATAATACAGCAAATAAAATCTATTCCAAATACTACCTTTTTCTGCCCTTTTTTACCTTTCCTTTCTCAAATCAGACAAGCAAAACTGTTACATAATGGCTGTTCAGTGGCAGAACCATATTAACTTACCCCAGGAGGAAGTTTTCTCAAAAAAGGGGGAATTAGAAGCTCTGAGAAACAGGATTTATGGGCTGATAAATTCTTAGTTGTACGAAACCTGATTTTAATAATTTAGTTGTTTTAGCACATTCACTGCTCTTCAGGTAAGTCTGTCTTTGGTGCAAAGACCAGGCCATTAGCAGCACTCAGGAAAATAAAGCACTGGGAAAAGTTGGAATGACCAAGAGCAGGGGGAAAATGAGAAAGAAACAAAAACTCAGATAATTAAATTTGTTCTTTTTCCTAGCACTCAGAAGAATTTTTGCAAATCATGCGCTAAACATTGTGTGAGGAGAATGTTTCTTACATATCAGAGTATTTAGGGTTTTTTCCTCCCTCCACAGTGAATAGAGGACAGACAGGCTTCCTCCTGCATTCAGGGAACCAAATCTTGCTTGCAAAAACCCCCACAAACCAATCTGCTGCATATCAGTGCTCCCCCTCCCTACTGTAAAACCTGAATAGGATGTCATGAATTTCCTATTGATGTTTGTCATACAACCCTATTCAAAACATTTTGATTGATGCATGTTCCTTCTGACATTAACGGCACAGAGTACAAAGGGGTGGGGGAGGAAAGCTATCAAGGCACTGCAAGGGTATCTAGTGCAAGTAACATATGCTAAGCTCTCCACATCAGTACCAGAACTCTCCACACATTACTCTAAATGCTGTGATGGCCCAGCACAGCATTTAGAAACACCAGAAATGCATTTCTTTAAAGATACTACAAATTGTCAATTACATTTGTGTGAGCTCAAATTCTTTTCCTGCCTTGCCACTGGGCAATACCCAAAATGTACCTCAACTGCTTAACTTTTCAAAGTGATATTCACAAAATCGTATCCAGTAAGTTAAACCTTCAAGAACTCTCAGAAAAGCTCCCCAACTGCTTTGAATTAATATTTACTAACTGTAGACCCCAAAAAGTTAAAAATCAGCACAGAGCAAAATATTTGCCTTCTCATGTATCAATCCTTTCCAGAATCTCCTATGACTCATAAAAACATTGGGAAGCCAAAAATAATCTAACATTTGCAGAGTCATGTACCTCAAGTCTGACCATCTGTACCTGGCAGCAGTAGTTAGAAACTCAATGAATCTCTTCCAGCTATGTCAGATGGTGAATGGAAAGTCCATTGACTCAAAGTCCCAGCCCAAGCTAAATGCACATAAAAACCACAGAGACCATTTAGACAACCAGGACCTTTTCAGCATTTAGGTATGGTGCCTCCTAAATTTAGATGCTCATTTAAACTCAAAGAGGCCAAAAGGAATCTACCCACCAAGGCCTGTGCTTTAGGAGGTTCCTCAATTACATCAGCCCAGCTAAAGGCAAAAGAGACAATTTCATCCAACAGCCTAGTTCATGATTCAAACATTGCCCTGCTAATTTTCAACCTGCAATTGTCACAGAGAATTAATTTTAATAGCAGGAGAAAAATGTTTGTTGTTAAATAAAAAAGGACAGGCCTGTGCCAGTAAGACATTGTCAGTGTGTCTCTCCATCTTGCTGTGCAAACAGGAGAATGTTGCATTGATCTGATATTCTGCTTTTGCTCCTTGTCACCTTGAACAATCTGTGTATTTTCTTTCATCTCAATAGGCAATTTATGAGAGAAAAGTATCTAGCCCAGATTTAACTGAAATAACTGAGAGGAAACAGCAATTAATGAGTTGTACACAAACTCCTGAAGTATTGACCTTTGCAAGGTAACTTGTAGAAATGCCCCAAATCCCAAGTCATTCACCCACCTGAGCATCCTGCTCAACAAGAGCGTCATCAACTCCCATGTCATGATCTCTGTTGGCCTAAAGAGAATTTTTACAAGTTGTTAAACTGAGGAACTGAAAATTAAGTCAAAAAACTACTCATCTGAGCCTGTAAAAGTTACTTTTAGAAGTCAACTCCTAATGTATCTTCTCCAAAATCACTTTATTTCTCCCTGCTGCTTGTATGTGCCTGCATGAAATAAATGTTCTCTTCTCCTATTGCCTTCAAAACCCCACGGAGGAGGCACCTGCTGTGCCACAGACACCACAGAGGTTTTTCAGTTCAGTCACATGGAAATGACTCACAAGAGAGCTCAAGGCTGACCCTGGAAGTCAGAGGAAGTGACTCAGCCCCAGGACCAACCCTGCCTACCCCCAGGCCTACCCAGAATCCAGCTTAGTAAGCACAAAGAGGCAAGTGCATGTAGAACTGAACTTCATACACACAAACCTGCAACACGAGGAGGCACTACTGACCTGCAGCAGGACCACCAGCATTCTCTGGAAATAGCCTGATGTTTCCCCTGTGATCTTATCCTCCAGGTCAGACTCATACTCTGCAAAAGAGCAATACCCATTCACCACCTTAGAGGCTTCCTCACTAGTTTGAGGACAAAGCAAGGAACAGCAAAAAGTTAATCTGAATCACAGCTGTAAAATCATTCATCAGAAACATCTTAAGCAACCAGGACATATTCTGGTTTCACTTATAACCTAACACCACTGTAAAAGAGGGGAAAATATAGAATCTCACACATAGGACCAGGAGCAGATGACTCAAAATATTTTGAAGTACCTGGTGACATGCACAGATCCAGCTCTTTAAGGAGCTAAAGATCTGAAGTTATGCTAAAATATGGCAGTCTCAGCTCTACAAAAAACATGAGCCCAGAAAAGTAGAAGTAAAAAGTATGTTGAGTTAAACACTACCTTGAAAAAACCAACCCCACAATCACAGGGTAAAAGTGCATACCCCTGTGGACAAGCACAATGCTGTACCTGCTTTAGCACAAATGCATTTGAACAGAAAGCTGAACAAAAGGCAAAAAAAAAAAATTCACTTTTTTTTATATATATCAGTTTTCTAGTATTCAATTACTAAAATTTGACTGAAAGGCAAAGGGATGAAAATAACAGATGGAAGAAGGAAATACATTTGAAAGAATGCTAATCATAAAGCACAAAATACCATAACCTGCAGTCCTAGCCCTGAAATAAAAGCTACTACAAATTCTAAAGTCTTTCAATACGAAGTTTTGCAACACAGCAGGAAGAACTCCCTCTTATTGGACAGACCCATCAATTCACAGATAGACCTTATCTAAAAGATGAGGTAAAATCATATTAAGAGGACTGAACAGAGACCCTTGATATGATACAGAAAATTACCTTGCAGATAAACCTGCTTAATATTCTGTACTTCAGCAGGTGTTCTGGAGGCAAGAATTTCAGTCAGCACTTTCTCGTTGGTTCCTACTCCCTGCAGGGGTGCAAGTATGAGTCAGTAGATGGAATAACAAAAGGAAAACAAGAAATTCCCTCTGACAATCAAAAACAAGAATCAGCTTATACAGTTAGACCACACAAAGAAAAATTTCTTATTTCTGGTGTGTTGTGGAGGTTTAGGAAATAATTTCTTCCAGTTCCAGCTTGTTTTCAAAACCAACCCAGCAATTAATAAAAGCTCACTGCTGCAGGCCTCAGATGAGCCCTGCCACGTCCCAGCACACCAGGTATGCCTCAGTTCTTTGCTGTTACAGTCAGTGACATCCATGTAAGTGAACAAAGAGACTAAGTTTCCTTCTCAGCTCTGGTTCACATACTGTCTTTCTTCAATGAATACACAGCTAAACACAGAGCCACCCAGCAACCATCTTTACCCTTCTGTGAACTGTGCTGTTAAACAAACTTTCTCTCCCACTGCAAACACACACATTTTAACACAGAACTGCTAACCCAGATAGTTTAAGCTGCTGCACTCTTCCTTTTACAAGGGTAAACCTGACAAAAGCCAAGCCAGTATCTTGTTTCCACAAGTCTGAGTCTATACTGTATGAATAAGCCATTGCCCTACACTTACAAAGGAGTCAGTTCTGCAGGACTGAAATGCTATACTGTGCATTTTTTTGGCTCAGCATGTTATTTACATCCTTCACTGTAATAAAAACATGAAATACTAACTACATACAAAGATATGCAACGCTCACAAAGCTGTCCAAACCGCAAATCTGCCAGGTTACATGTCATCATTGCCAAAACACAGACTGTCTGAAGAACCTGCCACTCAACAGGTGAGGCAGGCACAGTGACACTAGCTTGAATTCAAGTGGCAGCAGTGAAAATGGATAGGACAACCTTTGGCACAGTTAGTGCTCTTCACGGAGTGGTTATCTTGTACTGAAGTCTCTGCTATCACAGCTTATCCCCTTAGCTGCACAGCACCCAGTATTGACATCTTTTCCTGTGCAGACATCCCCTGAAATTGTATGATCTTATGTTTAATGTCATTTTTTAAGTGATAAGAACAAAACTACCCTTGTTTCACTATCTCTATCTTCCCCCCTACACCCACCTGTCCTGCCATTTCCCTGTCAGTCTTTGACTCTTAAGTCAACAAGAGAAACTTGGGAATACATTTTTGCCCTGTTAATCAACAAGGCCTTTATCAGTTTTGTTGTCAGGTGCTATGTCCCCTTCCCCAACGCATATAAAGACATCATAGAAAATGTCCAAGATTGAAGTTTCTGTGGTCTGAGGTACTATTTACTGGGTCACTGGTTCATTTGCTTGCATAGTTGACTAAAGCCTACATATTAACCAGCTGGACATCAGGGATCTTGGGAGTTTTACATGGAAGTGTCACTCAACAAAGCACTACCTTGCACTAATAAAGTTCAATGCCCTTGACTCTGATCAATTCTGTGAATAATCCAGGGACAGCCAATTCCTGAAATTCCACAGGCTGATATCAGACAGATATGACAGTGAAGGGGGGAAAAAAAGAGCCCATGGAAGAACACACTCAAATTTCTACACATCCATATTGTAAATTGTTTGCTCACCTGTTCTTTCCAGAAAGGCACTAAATGCACTCTAAAGTTAAAGAGATGTGTCAGCAGGGTAACACTGACAGGGCTATCAGCTCTTTGCCCTATATTACTGACAGCAGCTTTTAGAGCACGTTCAATACTGCAGATAATACCTGCTCATAATTCTGGTGGACACCACTCTACACAAGAATCAGTTTTGAAGTTGCACTGCAATCCATCAGGGGCAATATCCTCTCCAGCTTAAATAACAATCAAGGCAAATAAAGACTATCACACTAATGAAATGCTCTGAACTCATCTGCAGCCTACGTGTCCAGCTATAAAATTCTTTCTACCAGCACTCCCCTTAGCAATGCATTTCATGCCACATGAATTCCCTCCTCTTACCTTGATGGCATGTTTCAGTGCATGAGCATCAAAAATATACGCTGGTCTCATCAAAGACACCATCAATTTTTCAAGTTTGCCAGTAAGTTCTGACTTCAGGTCATCTACAAGATCCTAGGGCAGAACAGACAGTGCTATAATGAACAAGGAATAACCCTTTTAAATGGATGCATGTGGGTCTGCAAGCTAAAAGACTCTGGAGACACAGCACAAAAGCACAAGGGACACATCTTGTTTTAATTAGTACCTCAACTGAAACCAGTTTAAGGCTGACGAAAAGGATACATGGGCATTTGCCAAACCTGAAACACACTGATTTCTATAGGGCTACAGCAGGGTGGAGGAAAAGGGGAGACAGAAACAAAACTAGACTTTCTTTGAAGGAACTTTTTACAGGGAACATTGTGAATGTGCCTCACAGTTTTAAGTCAACACTGTAAGCCACAACCAGCTCATTTCTAGAAGTATTTTTCTTCTTCTTACCCTGCCAAATAAGGTTTTAAAGGCAGATGCAATTTCTTGACGCTGAGCATTGTTTCTGCTGGTAAGGATTGTCAGCACAGTTTCTTCATCAGTCCCTGAAGTTAGAAAAATCAGTTACAAACACACCCTAAAACACAAACAGCAGCGGCACAAACTCAAAAGGCAATGAAAGAGGCTTTGAGACCAACAGCCTACTGACAGCAGCAGCATTTAAAATCACAAATGTCACAATACTCCAAGCTGAGCCACCAGGTTTGGTGTTCTGCTGTTGCAAAAATACGGCCAGAGAACCTAACATGCTGTTTGTTCTCCACTAGAGAACTGTTCCAGGCACCAACTATAAGATTTACTCATGGTTTGTATTCCACACAGAAATCTTTGGGCTCACCAGTCATTGGCTAACTCCCAGCAAAACTCAGTCCAGGAACCTCAAACATCCCAGAGTACAGAAGTGTAGAGCTGTTATCCGTTTTACATATGATAGTTTGCAAGAAAATCCTCACAGCACCTGACTAGTCCTACTGAATTTGCCAATAAGATGAGGTTATCACATGTCCCTTCTCCCCTTCCTTCTGCAGGTGGCTTCCAGGCAAGCAGCAAATTAGAATTTGTTCTCACGGGGAAATTTGAGAGCAGAAAGCTACGGTGTGAGTTTACACACCACATGTTAGCCTACATTCATGCTGTGTGCTTCCATTCTCTGTTCACAGCAACTGCAATGTGCTCACGCACTTCCAGACCAGGAGGCTGTCGCTGATTTTCCAAGCACATAGTTTCTACCATGCTGCCATAATTCTCCACAGCTGTTGCCTGTAAATCCACAGTCGAGCTAAAGTGCTGTGAAGCCTGTGGAGTATCTATTTCTAATGGGGAATGGGCAAACCACCATCTTTTTTCCCTCAGGATAACCTAAAATAAACATCCTTGAGAGCAGCACAGCCAAAACCAGGACACACCCAGAGCAGTGCAGTCCTGGGGTTGTCATTCCATGGCATGTAGACACACGCCCTACTCTCATCTACTAATACAAAAAACCAGCTCAGAAATTATGTTTGCAAAGGAACAAATCTGTGAAATAAAACATATTCTTACCCATTCCCTTCATGGCCTTACGAAGAGCTTCTGCATCAGCTCTGGCATCAAAAGGAGAGAAGGCTGTCACGGTGCCTCTTGTGTACTAAAGGGGAAAAAAGGGGTTGGGGGAGAGAGAAAAAGCCATGAATATCACATCTTTCAGTTCTCCACACATGCACTCAGACTAAATTCAAATTCATGATCCAAAAGCTGATAGTGGTTTTCTTGCAACTGTCTGGCTGAATAACAGTCTGTGGGTGTTTAAACACAGCTTACTCAAAAGGTCCTACTATGGTTTTACTCAGCAGTACATCAGCTAAATTCGGGTATCTTTATATAACAGCAGTTTGCAGGGTTGTTATTTACAACACTGGAACCTGAATCCAGGAAAATGACTATGAACTTATCATTTGCTAAAGTAAACTTGAAAAATTAATTGCTCAAATCACATACGCTAGGAAAGCTGCACAAAGATCCAAGATACATTTGGTAACTTCCTCTCCTCAAGAACAACCTACTGGAACTCCTGAGCAGTATCACATTGACTTTTTCCATCACCTTGCAAATGAGACCTGCTGTACTCTGCAATGGCTTTCAATTTTTCATCATGTTCCTTTTGACATCAGCGACTTCTTACTCAAGTGATTCAGCCACATTAGTTTACAGCTAAAAAGAACTAACAGTTCAACCATAAGGATAAGAGATCAACTTGTCCAAACACACAAATAATTCCACTAGGTTGCCATGGAACATGACTCTTCAGGGACTTGCTCTTTGGATTAAACACGAAAGGATATTAATCACCCTTACGGAAAAGTCTTGCCTTTACTTAAACATGATAGTTCGAGAACCTATATGTGTATAGCACAGAAGTTTAATTATTATCTATAAAAGCCAAACAATGGCCAAAGGGGGAAACAGCTGGTTTGGGGAACAGGAAAGCTTTTCTAACAGCTGAAGAGGGAAATTTCCTGTGAGCATTGCTGTACAAATGTAGCAGTCAGTACAGGCAGGACATTTTTTCATTCTCAAGAAAGAGAATGAAAGGAAGTGCCAAGACACCTGCTGAGACTGGCACAGCATGACTTCACAGGCAGCACAGCCTTGACCTCTCTGTGCTACAGCCCTTCCCTGAAGTTAGCCATTTCAGCCACTGCATGCTCTGCTCTCCAGTCAATGTACTCATCACAGGCAGGTCAGCCAGAGGAGCAGAGAGGGAAAATAGCAGGCCAGCACTAACCAGGAACTGCCCTGAAGCATTGCTGCCTCTCAGGCCACCTGTGTATTACTGCCAACAGAGCCTTCTCACCCCTCCCACTGCAGCAGCAATGAGTTAGGTTGATGTCTGCCATAATCAGCAGATCATAACACAGAGTATCATGGTGTTTAATAGCAACATCAGACTTCTTTTTGGCAGATGCTTTCCAATACCCAGCATCATGCATGGC